CATGGCGACAAACAACAAGCGCTCAGATCAATGATGAAACAAATTCAGACTCTTTTGGGAAACAAACATTTGTATGCTGGGTTTTGTAAGTATGTTGAACTTCTTAGCCAAACCGTGCTAAAAGGGGTTTGCCTGATGTAAACGCAGCCTACTTCGATGTACATCGTTTTATGGATGAAGAAAATAAAAACCCAAAACATTTTATAGCAATTAAAATTAATCGTATACAAGCAGAAGCACTCTACAAATATCAAAGAAGCTTTATAACAACGATTAAGATCCGTGGAGGAACAAAAGTGCAAAAAATAAACATGGACAGAAGACAAAAATAATAATTAACCATACAAAAGGTCCCACCAGCAACATATCAAAATACAACACAGGTATTGAGTTCGAGTAGAAGAGATTAAATTTTTTTAATAATAAGATGACAATTTATGCGCAATTAGCTCACCCATCCTCTAAATTCAGGGCTCCACTCCACAAGGTCGAGTACTTGATTTCATCCTTCCCTTTCTCGTTCGCCCTCCATTTCGCTGAAAATCATTAAGTACTGTAATCAATGGACATGTATTTTACATTTTCAAACTACTGTCCTTAAATATTTTAAACACGCCACATATTAACATTTGCTTAAACACAGATCGGCAGGATAGAAACACATTTTGAAATAATGTTTCGACAATTAATGTATTGTTGTGCAAAAGCAGAAATATGACAAATGTATTCTCATGTAGTTTGGGGCAGTGAAGCCCATTCACCATCATTCTATCCACTGCTTTTCATAACCGGTTTAGCTTATGTTGACGGTGTATACGTGCATCACAACGTGATGTTTCGGGTCTGCGCATTGCCTAAATATATATACACATTTTTAAGAAATATTTTCGTGTCATGCACTCTACGTTGGTAGCATTCGCCAATACTCTTGGCTAGGCTTTCAATCAGTTTGTAAAGCGTGTGAATCCCAACAGGATGCGAATCTTACGCTGCAAAAACACGGCTTTCTGCTCGTGCGCAATGACCATCAGATCGTTGGTGGGCGAAAGAGAAACCACGCAGTCCTGCAGCCAGAAGTCATTCTGTGACTTCCCCGTGGCCTCCTCTTCAAGCACCTCCTAGACGAGCACCATTCATTCACGAGCGGTCGTTACGAACGCAAAGACCCGCCTCACGCGACCACACTTCTTCACACAGCAGAGACCAAAGGACTGTTTTTTAGATCACTAGCTGGTCTTGTATAGGAGGTGTAATGTGCAAAAGCATGCTAATAGCATCTCAAATGCACGCTGCTATCTCGTCCTGCTGTGTTCATTAAATTTAAGACTAGCTCATTCAATATCTAGACGAGGTCAGTTTACAATATGGCATTGATTTCAAGCCTCATGTCTCTCTTTTCAGAATGGTGTTAGAAATGGCATCTGTTTGTTATGATGGTTTGAAATTTAGCATGTTTTTTATCATAATATTGTATTGGTACCCCATTCTGATTCTCCAATGAGTACAAAACTACGAAGATGGAGCTCGTGTTAGCCTTACCCATCAGGACAAAAAAAAAAGATTTGCGATACTACTAGACTGCCAATAGTGTTTATTGTACCAAACTATAATTTCCGCTGTTCTTAATAGACGGCCAAAGGTCTTGTCAAAATACAAAGTTCATAAAATTAAAGTCAGATTATAGACCTGAGTAATGTCGATACTACTGACCAGACTTGGGGTAAATTACAATTGTAATTGTGTAATTCGTAATGAATTGCAATCACATTGTCATTTTTGCTAACGATGCTACTGTAATTGACCCAGGTATGCTACTGACATGCCAACTGTTGTTTTGAATGCAACTGATAAAAATAGTGTGCTGACTTTAATAATTAAACTTAAGTTTATTTATATTTGTTACACAGACGATCCCGTTTAGTCAATTGCCCGGCTATTTTACAAAGAAGATTCGTGGTGCGTGAGCGCAGCAACAACAACAAAAAAGTCAATATTGCAGAGAGCGAGGACAGGGTCCTTAAGGAATGTTGCACTATTACATACAGACCAAAACAAGTGAATGAGAATTACAGCACTTCGTTTTCCAGTTAGATTGTGTCAATACTGAATCTAGTAAAATGGAAAATTGCTGCAATGACATCAGTAATTTTTATAATCCTTATGACTCAACGACTCAAAATATCCTTGTTCTAACATTTCACCCCACAGGTGCTGCAACATCACAATTCACTTAAGGTGAACTGTCCAGAAATAAAGTCTAGCAAAAGAGAAACACAATGCGATGCGTAAACACACCAACTGTAAGTATCCGTCCTTGGTGGTGTTCTTGTCTGATTAAGTGAAATGCAGCCACGTAGAAAATCACATTTGCGGTAGGCATTCGTATGAAGAACTACATGAAGCTGTGAGCGAGAGTTTAACCTTTTCTTTGGTTTCGGGAAGGTCCCAGGACCCCCAGTTGTCATCCTCCCAGCCAACTTCTTTTTCTGAACAGCATTAGTAAAAAATAATGTCAATATCCAACATTAACGTTCGAATTTGCTTGATTAAATACGTTAAATGCCTGCAAAAAAACGTCATAGCTTTACTCACTTATGGCATCAGTGACAAACAAATAGGGTAAATTATTTAAGCCGTTAATTAACTTGGACACACATTGTGAAGGCCTCTTTACCATTACCTGCATGCTGGGAAAAAAAGTTTGTAATATTCATCTCAACCTCAACAAAACAAAGAGGACTGTTTAAGCTGGGAGGGGCAGAACATTACCCCAGTGTTAATGCATGCCCACTGTACTCAACGCTATTTCAAGTGACAACAGGCCGGCTGGCGCCTTAACATCAAGGAAGGATAAGAGCATGTGAATTGTGTACCTTCGTTGCTTGCGTCAGTGGCTGACCGTTTTGTAGTGAAGAAGACACAAACATGGTTGTTAGAAAGATCCCCTCGTTCTACAGTACATTAACAGAATCCGATTAATCTGTATTTATACTGGTGGAATCCGATGAGCTATGAAGCTCTTGTTCACAGATGTCCAGTAGGCATTACCAAGCTTCCTTTCAGTCAAACGATTAAATGCAGAGCATACTGGGTTCAGAGGTTTGTAAGCAAACTTGCTCAAATGTTCCTGGTGTGCGGCTGGGTTGTGATCCAGGTTAAGGACCTCACTTAGACGAGATGTAACCCAGGTTTAATATTAGTGACAGACGTGACCTGGCTTTAAGATGTCACAAAATCATCATTGGGTTTCGGAGCTCCCAGAGTAAAGAATGCAAGCTCGTTATATAACCTTACGAAGACAAGGTAAGCCCAAGGTTTCCGATATGAAAAACCCAGATTTAAGATATTACAGTAGACGAGAACCAGTGTTAACGCCACACAGTGACGAGACCTAGGTTTAATATCTGACATAAACAAGCTGTGACCTGGGGTTAGGATCTCACCAAAAGACAAGATGTAACCCGTTTTTTTTGGAACTGACAGAGCTGGATATAAATCCAGGCCAGACAGTATCCACATAGAATGAGGTAGGTGTAATTAAAAGATAACGTCACTTGACCGATTTGGCGTGAGACCTCTCCTGCCAAACTGGAGCTGGCCATGAGCACAATTCAGGCACAGGCAATCCTCCACACTCTCTCTACAACCACTTCATTCCTGCACTCATGGAGAGATGAGGAGGTGGAGTGTTCAATAAAACAAGAGTACCCGGGCAGGTTGTTTTGTTTTGGTGGGGCTGATGGTAAGGGACCCACCTATTTTTTACATGGTTCAGGTTCAGAAGCAGGGTCTCCAACTTCTCAATAGCAAGCATTTACCAGGGTATGAGCCACACATTAACCGTACCTGAGCATCGATCACACTCCCATAGTATCTGTAGCAGATTCCCATGGAAGGCTTCTCGAACTACGTGGTCAAACATTTGTATACATCGTGTAGGAGACCAAAGTACATCCATGTCCCACTCCAAGGTGCACTGGGAATGGCTTCTATCCTCGGCCAGGTAGCGTTACCAGGGCCTGCTCGTCATCATAAAGGTCCGTAATGATCATGGACAGAGGAATTAGGGACCCTGAAAGCACAAAAAACCCAAAGCCACTCACATACACACGCACACAAATATAGGTGGCATTTAAATTTGAGACAATGTTCGCTGTCCAAACCTCTTTTCCTCGTCTCCTGCTTGAGGTGTGGGAAGAGATGATCTCGCACTGAGCAGATGTCCTGGAACTGACAGAATTCGCTCAGGGAGCAAGACATCGCCGCTTCTTCTCCAGGGATGTTCCTCCCCGGTGATGTGGCAACGTCGGTGTATGTAAATATATTATATTCGTCTTTATATATGTGTGCGTACAGTGCGTATATGTACGTGTGTATTTGTTTACCTCTACAAGTGTGCTGCTTATATGTGTATGCGCAGTATTACCATGTATACCCGAGTGTATGCAGTATGTACATAGGTGTATGTCTGTGTATGTGTACTGACAGGATATGTAAACTTGTTTGTGCGTGCAATTGTCTGCGAGACTGATTACGTGTGAACGTGAGTATGTTTTTGTTACGTATGAGAGTGTATGTGTGACAGCGTATACCTCATGTACGACGTATACGTCCGTGTACGCGTGTATGCCAATATGAGTGTGTCTTTGTGTATGTGAAAGTGTAGATTCCGTGTAAACGTTATGTATGAGCGCGTATGCCTCAAAAACATACACCTACACGCGTACACTGCTACTGTATACGTGTGTACGTGAATGCCGGCGTACGTGTCTTTGCGCACGTGACAATGCGGGTTTATGTCAGCGTACGCAAGGTGTGTGTGTGTATTCGAGCGTTGTTACACCTCGAGTGTGTGTGTGTACACACTTGTGTACGTGTGTAAGAATGTATACGTCTCCGCGTATCCCGTCACTCAAAGAGGCCCAGGCAGGCCGGCGGGAGCCTGCAGTGACGTCGAACGACACATCGCCGCGCGGTGACGTCACGCGAGCCTCGCGTTCGGAGGTACAAAAAAGCTCGATTGCGTCACTCCAACGGAAAGGGAGCCGCGGGGGGTGGTGATGGTGGTGTTCGGAGGTGACGTCAATTGTCGAGACGCAATAACGTGACGTCGATTGTCGACAGTCGCTGGAAACGGAGTCACGCGTTGCGGAAGTTTTAAAATTTGGCGCCAAATCTCGCGGCGGAGGGCCTTGCGATTCGTTTAAAGTGTACAGTCTAACGTTTTACATATATACGTTCTGCCAAGTTCGTAGGTCATTGTTAAAGCGCGTAGTTTGTAAATGTGAGGGAAATATATTGGTGCCGCGTTGAACAGCAATGACTGTTTATCTTCTCGAGCAACGTTAGCTCAATGGGGAGTTCCCTCGTTCCCTGATGCTGCTCCTCATTGTCCTACAACTCCGTCATGAAGAGGAAATCCTGGTCATGTCCGAACAAACTTCGAGCCTCTTCTCGCCGGCATTTGTCTCGCGACTTAGCCTGGCGTAACAACCTCGCCTCCCTTACCTCCCCGACCCATCGCCATTCATCCGAATGTGCGTGCGAGTCGCACCATCAAGTATGTATGTACAGTATGCTGAACTTCTTTCGCACCGTACGTAAAGCCGCCCGCGCTCATCCGAGGTGAGGTGAGGTGCGGTGCGCCGGGGTGTAGGGGGGGTAGGTTTAGAGGCGAGTTCGCGTTGTGTTTGTGAGCGCTTCGCAGTCGAGACCATGGAGGAGCTGATCATCAACCCGCGCGTGCAGGCGGCGCTCAAGAGAGGTAGGACGACGCAGTCGCTTCAACGCGAACCGGTTTATTGTTTATTTAAAACCGCGCCACATTACACAAACGCGCCACGTTCGCGAGGGGACCACAACAACAGCAGCCTCCGCGGTTCGCCAACGAGACGTCACCGCCGCTTCGTGCGCCAGGCTAGGTGCACCTGGGGAGGCCGCGTGAAGTTTGGAAGGTTCGCTGCCGACCAGAGGTCACGGTGACCCAGGCGCTGCGGGTTCACTGACTTGGGACGGTATCGCAACGACAAGCCGACGGTCGCCACCGAGCTTGCGGCGACGTGAACGCGGCGCTTCGTGCCAGGCTAAGTGCACTTTGAGGCCGCGTGAAGTGTGTCGCAAGGCCCGCTGGCGGGAGGCCACAGAACACTTTTTTACCACACATCATTTCCACACGAACAACAACCGCCATTCGCCACTAAGTGGTGGTGACATCACCACGACGCTTGTGCCAGGCCATGTGCACCTTGAGGCCACGTGAAGTGTCGAACGCCCGCTGGCAGGGGGTCACGGGGCAGACCCAGCAGGTGCCACGGGTCGACTGACTGAGATGAGTGGCTGATGCACCACCTGTGCCCCCTACTGTGCCAACCTGCTGTGCTTTAGCCACCCGGCGCTCCGCTCGTTGTGAGCGTCGCTCCTCCGCCCTCCGTTGTTGTTGGAGGGCGACTGCCTCCAACTGCCCAGTAGCGTCCTTCACGAGCCTCCTCCACAGAGGCCGATCTTGACACCGCTGGTACCAGTCATCGGCAAGTCCACTCAGCTCCACGTCCTCCTGTACCACATCACTCCATCTCTTCTCTAGCCCGTGCCGCGCCCGTTTAGCCCCCTCGATCTAGCCGAACAAAAGCTGTTTCGGCATGCGGTGGCTGGGCATGCGGGCTACATGACCCAGCCATCGCAGCCTTGCCTGCCGGAGGAGCTCACCGATGGGACCTTGCCCAAGATCTTACTACCACACGCATGGCAGTACTATATACACAAACACACCACACGCGTACCCCGTACTACGTTACACATGACTATCACTGCACATACACAGCAATATACAGAACCAAGATAACCATTGTTCGCTGCCCCCACATTAGTACTGATTTTATGGACTTCTGACCGCGATTTGGGCTTTGGGGCTCAACAGTTGAGCACTTTGTTCGCACTCGGCTGAGTTGTGTGATTTGTTTTTATTAAATTTAAAAAGCCACAAGTTTTAACGAGACAGCCGAGTGAGACGCCGAGAGCACTGAGGTTGTGTCTGGGTTTTAATTCGTCCTCATGCCCACTCGGGGCGGGGTTTTTTTCTTCCGGAGGACACTACTTCGTCACGACAAAAAATAATCTGGCACTGAAATGATTGTTGACTAAACACTTGAAGTCGGGACCCTCCCCAGAATGAGAACTGTAACTCATGCGAGACTTTTCTGGATAAAGGACTGTGACTAAGGACTCTACAGTATTGCACCTCGTAAAGTACCCTCATCTTCAAAGTGATTTTTTAAAACACAGCTAACGTTACGAGATTGAGTCATCGTGTAACTTAAAACAGTGCAAGTACATTATCATGGCATAATAACTACCCTCAAACGAGTTCATCTCAGTGGGTTCTTAACTGCCTAATTAAACGACATTCTACAATTTATTGCTGTTTAAACGTGTTGCGTAATCTGTTTTGGCCACAAACGGTGTAAGATTGTGCTCCTTCGCCGTTTACTTTCCCGTGGCTGAAATCTTACTTGCACGACAGTCATTGATTTGCCAATGAGTGGAAGGAAGTCTGATATTAATTTGCCTGGGGCAGCCTGTTTTGTATATGTCATTGTGTGCGATCCTAAATGGGGGCTGCAGTGGAATCTATAATAGAGTAGTGTATTTTCACGTAAAAGTGACTAACCAACACAAAGCAATAAATACCTTTATCACAAATCCTTTTACAAACAGCTTCGACTGGTTCTCACACGTGTGTATGACAACATGCTGCAATGCCATTAAGAAGTTGGCAAGACTCGCACTTTTTGATCATTTGTGCGCTGCTGTTTTGGCCCATGTGCCTTAGTTGTTTGTGGTAAAATCCCAAATCCCCATCGTCTGTGGGAACGTATGGGCCCTGAGGTGGCATCGGGAGAGATGCCAAAGGACTCAGAGGTGTCTGGGAGTCCGAGCCAGCCCATTACACAGAGATGGCATTAGACCCCGAGTGGATTATGGGAGAATGGTAAAACACCATAATCCATTCAAATGTGTCGTGTGGCAGAGATAAGTACATTGGTGAATGTTACTTTTTGTGCGGGAAGATTAATAATGGTTTTTAGAAACAATGTACCACATTAAAAAAAAACTTTCTGAACGGAAGCGTGTGGGTGGTGTTCTGTATGAGGTCGGCTGGAGAGAGTCCCTCCGAGCCCACAAGCTGCAGAAACACGGCTTCTCTTTCCAAAAATCCTGGCTCCAATTCCCACTGGGCTCCCAGCGAGTTGTGTTCCTTTTGAACAGGTTTTAACAGGAACCCAGCATGAATTTGGAAAAAAGAAAGGAAGTAAATAAAAAAATAAAATTTCCGTGGGTGTCGCTTAGCAGCAAGATCCCAGTTGATCGTGATTACGTTACAAAAGTAACTCAATTGCAAGATGCTTGCAGGTTACACATTGAGTGCCTGTTGTGCAATTGTTGTCTGTCCAGCGCACATCTACACGTTGAAAGAGGTCATCTGTCTTTCTGGACCTGACCTGGAGCGCATGACGAAGTTGTCCAGTACGGACGTGAAACACCTGCACCATGCTGTTGCTACTGCACTCTTTAACCGCCCTGCGGTCACAGGTAATGAACAAACCTGTTTGTAAAATAAGTGCAACTGAATGGGAGTCGTTTAGCCTTTTGCTCCCATGCTGTAAAAAAGTAGAATCATTACCAAACCATTTTCAGAGGCTTCAGAGAAAATTAATGGACCTTTTATATACTTATGCTGCATAATATTTGAAAAATATAAAATGTGTTATCTTTATAGCTCCTTCCCAATTCTTTGTAGTCACACTTCATTGACCATAACTGCTCTCGACAAAAAAAACTAATTTAGCACTTGCCTCCACAGTACAACTTGAAAATACAATACAATTGTGTTTTATACGTTTTAAAATACAATATTCTCACAGTGATTTTTGACGAAGGATAGCAGCTCCCAAAATGGATCATGTGAAAAATGTTACGTTAAAAAATATTGCACAGCATTACATAGTCTTAACTAAAAAATCAACATGAAATAGGGATGAGATTCGTTCATGGTGGTGGTGGAGAATCGATGGCATTCAATTCTCAGATTCTGTCTTTTGGACACCACATGCGTGCTCTTGTCCAATTTCACCGACAGCTTTGCAGATGTGGCGAGGAGAGTGCCCGGGGCAGGGGGTCCGTCTGAGCCTGGGCTGCCCCGTGCTGGACGCCTTTCTCCAAGGAGGCTTCCCGGTGCCCGGCGTAAGCGAGCTGGTCGGGGAAAGTGCCACGGGCAAGACGCAGATCTGCATGCAGCTCAGCCTGACCGTGCAGTACCCGCGCGAGTACGGGGGACTTGGAGCAGGTGCCGCATTCAAATTGGGCTCCGGGGTCTGGGGACGGGTGGCATCTTAAGCCCGGTTCACACACAGCGAATATTACAGACCGATAACGGAGGGACTGTCGCCAAGAGAAGAGCTGTCACATCGCGTTGTTATCTTTATAAATGTAACCTTATGTGCTTTTGCAATTTATTGAGTGACACAAGAACAGCTTTTTTGTGTTTAGTTTGTTATCCTTCAGTTTAACACGTAGGCTTTCGCGACCAATATTATTCATAATAAAGGTTTTTGGGTTAGATCGCGTTATTTATGAATGTGTCGTAACCCTCCACACCGGACACGGCCAATCAGCAAAAAAAGTGTCATGTTGACAAAAGACAATTAGTTAACTACTTTAGCCCACCGATGTGTTGAAGAGTGAATCCACAAAATTTACAGTTTGAATACGATGTTTCGCTGGTAATTACATCCAGCATCATCGGGCAATTCGCCAGAATGGTAAAGCCCTCACTTGCTCTCGGTCTTAAATAGAGCAGCAGGGTTACATCATCATTTAACTCATTTCAGGTGCAGTGATTTGAGGTGGAGGGGGGTATTGTAATTATATAATCGATTGGTAATCAGTCAATGGTTATGATTAGTAATGAGTTGTAGATTAGTAATTAGTTGTAATGTGTGTTATTGTGATTATATGCTACATTAGTAATCCGTTAATTAATGTGTTTCCCCTATAAGGAATTGTAATATGTATTATTTAATAATACGCTTCCAAGCCGCGCTAAGCCTATAGCTATCAGAACGATTAAAGTTATTTCTATTTCTCTCTTGTTATCCTTCCCCCGCACCTCCGATTAGCACGGTTGGCTACAATCGGGGCGAAAGAAGTTCAACATGCATACATACGAAGCCCAATCGGAGACAATTATATTGTGTCCGATTCAATGCGCCAGCCCTGGTCATGCGCTTATTCTATCAGAGTTGTTTCACTGGAAGTTATATCATGTCAATGTCTGCTCACCCATTGTTTCTCCGTGCTTCGGATGACATTCAGAATTAATCACTTGTTTGAGCGGGTAACACTTTGGTCCAGAATAGATCCATGTCAGTCGGTGTTGCTGTATAAAAAATCACTTCTCACGTAACCTCCCCTGCCCCCACATAATACATTCTTCACTGATTAACAAAAATTTGCCATTAACATGTAAACTACATATCAATACTTGACCACGTGTATTGTGTATGTTCATTTGATTGGAATTAGTGCTTAAATGTTAGCATTATTTCAAATTCACTAAGGTGTAGTTCATAATAAAAAAATTGAGAGATAGCAGAAAACAGTGTGTGTTCATTTCAGATGTGGGAGGAAATATGTAAAATGTTCACTTCGAAATTTGCACGTCGATGTAATCTGAGCAATTCCAAACGCTAATTATAACTATATTTGACGGACCATACTGACTGATATTTGTGAAATTATGTGGCGCCTAAATTAAACCTCGTCTCTTAAACTACTTAATTTTCATTGTTTCGTTACCACCAAGGTAAACTTATATTGTCTCGTGTCTAAATTTGGCCTTATGCTTCCTTTTCTCCACCTTCATTTTGTATAAGAGCCTTAACCATCCGACTCGGTGTGAGATTCGCGCGTATTGATGCCGTGTTACTGCTCTTGTTATATTTTCACTGCAACTGAGCTAAGTTTTTTTCTGGCAAACTTCCCCCCCCCACCCCCATATATAAACCGAGGCTGATTTGTTCTGTCACAGGGGCTGTGTACGTGTGCACCGAAGATGCATTTCCCAATAAGCGCCTCTGCCAAATGATCCAAGCTCAGGCCAAAATGAGAGAGGACGTTCCGCCAGATGTTCTTGCAAAGATCTCCTTCGGGGAGAACATTTACATTGAGCACGCAGCAGATGTTGTGAGTAGAGGGCAACCACAACCTCCTCAGAATGGAAACTGACACGGACAAATTTGGAACAATAAACATGAAACCAAAGCATTCATCTAAATGTGCTTTAAAAATTAAATGCATTTCTGAATCGAAAGTCTTATCTAATTATCTCTTATTTCTCATTTTTAAAATCTGCCATGGTGGGGTTGCGGAAGGCCTCCTTGTACACTTGCATCACCCGCCGCCTGCCGGTGCTGCTGTCCCGTGGTGTCGTGCGGCTGATCGTCGTGGACTCGATCGCGGCGTTGTTCCGCTCCGAGTTCTCCGTGCATGAGGCCGTGGCCCGGGCGCAGCAGCTGCGAAAATTCGGTGCTCAGTTGCACGAGTTGAGCAACACGTACTCTGCGCCCGTCATCTGTGTCAACCAGGTCAGCTGCCGTTATGTCATGACACAACAACACAACACTCCCAAGTGCAATCTTCCGGGTTGGGAAATAATTTTCTTCTCTTAAGCTATCGCTATGTAATACTGTGGACATCTTCAGCTCCTGAAGAAGACCTGAGAAGTGAAAGCTTGAGTGAAGAAATATTAAATGTGACCTATCCCAGAAGACCAAACTCGGATTACAAGTCGCTCTGAAAACCTACCTGTTTTCTTTGGGAGGTGGTAAGGAGATGAAATGCAAATTATATTTAAGTATGGTAAATAAGCAGATGAAGATACTTTCTGGAGAGAGATGTTGGCAAAGGATTAAAGAAGGGTCTTTGAGCTTGAACAGGGGAAGGGTTTGGAGTGCAGACGGCCATTGGAAGGACATCAGATACTCGGGGCAGTTACAGAGCAGGATCAACCTGCCATGGTATGGAAGTTGACAGACAGCCTCGGTCACAAGTGCGAGGTTGAAGGAGGTGTGGCTGGACATAGAGTGAGGTCACAGTGCAGAGATATGTGGAGGCGAGTCCTGGAGGATTTTGAAAACCACTACCTGAATGAATGGCAGTAAACATGTGTGAATTCTGCAGGGAACATGAACTCTTTTTTTACTGCAATAATAGTAATAGATGTGTTTTTGCAGGTTACTGGAAATGTTTCTGGCCAAGACCATGGATCAGGTGCACAGAGGTGATGGAGTTTTGCCATTTATTTTACTGTCGATTGTGAATGATCTTTAACACCAAATGTGAACATCACAGTGTTATTAAAAGTCTTGACCCCATACATATATGTCAACATTGTTTGAAACATTGCTGGAAGGGTACAGCCAAGGAAAATCCTATTTGTGCTTTATTCCAAAATTAGCCCATAAGTAATAAGAGAAAAATGGTAATTATCTTGTAACAATTAGGCACCATAATAGGGCACTGCCCCCCCCCTTACCCACTAGCAATTCAATGAATTCCACAATATTGTTATTTCGTATTTTTTACCATATATGAATTGTCAAATTTGTTTGCTGATTTGTGCAGTTGTATGCATACAATTGACTTCAACGTAGAATTAGCAAATCGTTTGCATATATTTAGCCAAAAATGTTCGTAGTTCTCACATGTCTAATTTGATGAATGTATCTTGCGCACAAGAATTGATCTGAATCAATTAATCGATATGTCCCCACGTGCTTAGCAACCCCTGCTTGGCAATGCGGTGTAACCAGTTGGCTCGTGTGTGTTGCAGTAAAGTTATCCCTGCACTGGGCATCACCTGGGCCAACATGCTGCTCATGCGGATAATGGTGAGCCGGGGCCACGCAGAGGGCACAGCACCCACCGGTGCTGGCACGTGGCGAGCAGCAGACGCCCCCACGGGCACACACGCTCACAACCGAGACGTGACCCAACAGCCGGATGTCGTTCGCACCATGGAGCTCGTGTTCGCGCCACACCTCCCCCAGTCGTCTTGCCGCTATGCAGTCACCACGCACGGGGTTGTGGGTCTCGAGTAGCGCCACAGCTGTCGCTCGCCACCCACACGAGTCGTTGGATCAAAATGCACTTGAGTTAAAATGGAAGCAAATAGTTGAAACCGATAAGCTGCTCAGTGTTTTGGTCTTCGCAGCCTACAATCAAATCAACCTTAATCCAACCCATCTCAGAGCTTCAAGCTAAGCCAAGTGGAGCTTGGTTTGTACTTTAATGGGGAATACTGCCTCAAAATATCAGTTGCAGACTTAGGAAGTAAAAAAATATAAAAAAATATATTTCTGCAGAGCTTTAAATGATGTCCCCTCACATGTCTCGGTTTTATCTGGTTAAGTCCCCCTTATATTTCCTCCCACATTCCAAAAAACCCTTACATGGAATTGGTCAAACATCCCAATGCAGGACTCTCTTGAAAAAGAGTTGAGACTAGAGTAAAGAGCATTTATATTGCTGGTATTCTGTTAACATTTTTTTCAGATTAAAAAATAACATTTTTGTGCACCACGTGGTTTAATTTACATTTTTGTCAACACGTGACATGTGGAGCATCTCATAATAATGGAAAATATTTGAAGAAAATAATGTCCAGTTCCACAAATATTGGCTGGAGAACTTTGTGCTGTAGCTATATTTTTGCTCCATTATGTAAAATGTTAAGGATGGTTTAAAAAAAAAATCTATAATATAACTGGACTACATTTGTTAAATACTGTAATTATATTGTCATGTTAATATTATTTCAAGGATTCTATTGTATTCGCATAATTAAAGAAACAAAATACTGTAACTAAGTTCAGCCTTGAACGATCATTTTGGCTTGCGTTAATTGTCTTACAAGCAAACCTGATCCTCCCAATGCCTGTGTTTCCAAATATAGTTCATGTTTGAAAACTGCTATACATCACGATTATGCCACTCCTCATCATGCGTGTCAGAGTGAACAGTAAATTGCCCACATACACACTGACCGGCTTAAGCCAAAGACACCTTGCAAATTCGCAATTGAAATGTATTTACAGATTCTGATACCATCCATATGATCATTGGCAAAGCAGATAATTTTCCAATGTGTCATTTTATAATGGTCTTTGCGGGAAATATTTCATTTAATAGTCTTATAGTGGCTGGTGTTTCACTTACACGATTTCATTGTACAAATTTGGAGTAGGGTTTTTGTAAAATAATAGCATTGGATGACTAATTTAAATCTATTTCGTACCCACTAAGCAAACAATGCTGTTAAATTGTTAAATCTGATTAAATGTGTATACATAGCATTTGCAAACAGTGCCAGTTACAGAACCATATTGAACAAACAAAAGATACTTATTCTACTTATTGTAGCACATTCTTTCTATAGGTGTGACAAAGAAGAGATTGTTTGAAATGTACACATGCTGTGTTTTATTGTGTTGGCTGTATGTGACCAGAACATGAGCTCATGGGCCCTTATTCACACTACAATCAATCATTTAGCAGGTAGCTTTATTTATCTTGCTGTTTTGTCACATCAATATTATAGAACCTTATTCTTAGATTCGTTACTACCCTTTTACTGTGAACATATCAAAGCGCCTATTCAGACTGTCAGTGCCTTATAATATACCTTATAATATCATTATAAAGCACTATCAATGCGCTGTTGCCATCTCATGGTTCCATGCCACAATCTATCTCGCTTCTACACATGAACCTGTTTCTTAACTTCCATCTTTGCAGTGTCATTCGTTCACTAGTCTCTTCCATTGGCCATCATTATCGTAATGTGTCCTATCCAATACATTTCAAGGGTTATTACAATGTCTCTATTTGATCTATACACTATTTTTGTCTCGGTGTAATCCATAGCACAGTAGAGAAAATATCACAAGTGCACTTCGGCGGTGATGGGGGGGATAAGCGTATTAAATTACTACATTCACCCATGCAGTGTGAACGTTTTGGGCTGTATGTCGTATATTAATAGCTTCATAGCCCTAACCCCTGGCCTCCACGTGGGTGAATCTGTTAAGTGTAGTAATGACACGGTAATGTATTGTGTATGCTGTGTGCTAACACTGCAGAGAATTGTACCTCCAAGACAAATAATCGTCCCACGTTTTATAGTGCAACTTAGAAGTTTTAAGCTTAAGATTAGGCATACATTTTCATGATAATGTTATGGTTTGTTTAAACCCCCTTGGTGAACTTTAAATTCCTTCTTGTAACTTCAAAATTAAATAATGTAATTATACACTCATGCATCATTGGCAAGCAGTATTTTACTGGAAAGCTCGTGGAGAAAAATATCACGCAATGCCCGGGCGGTGGCAGCTTGAGCTGGGAATGTTTTGAACAGTTTAAGACAGGCCTGTGATGTGATGTGGGGGGGACCTGCCAAAAGGGCTGGAATTTTAATCTAAAACATTGTTTTCGTATGCACAAATTATAAATTACAAGCAATGCTTTATAAGAAAACCTGACTCCCACCACCCATCCCAGAAGAATTCCCTCATCAAAACTCTACACCATAGAGCTTAATGTATTTCCGACCATCACCTAGCCAATGAACTGGAACACGTACACCAAGCTCTCAAGATGAATGGATATTCATACTACACAATCCGTCAAGCTATCACCCCAACAGTTGGGAAAGAAGCATCTGAGGACCCAATCAAAACCATCACCTTGCCATACATAGTAGGGGTCACCAAAAATATTTCCAAAATCATGAGCAAACAACATCCAGGTTCGATTAAACACAGTACATAAAATTTGTGATCTGATTTAATCTGTGGAGGATGTGATCCCTGACATGCAATACCCTGGCGTCTACCAACTAAGCTGTGTCTGTGTCAGTAGTTACATTGGGGAAAATAAGCGACATGTCTTGGACCATGTTCGTGAACATAAGGCAGATCTGGAACACGGTAGGACCAATACTTCAGTCGTGGCTGATCATTGTTTTAATAAGGTGGGCTCACGAATTTGATTTCTCTAAGACGAAGGTACTTTGCAAACCCACTGGCTATCAACAAACATTCGTTTATGAAGCCATCCATATATAGACAGACACAATTTCAACCGAGAAGATGGGTACAAACTGAGCAATCATTGGAAGAACGTGATTAACCAGTTTAAGTCATAACTGGCTATGATGTTCCCATCCTACCACCTTCTGATGTTAGTTGTTATTTTCGGCTCTGATTTTTTTTACATTAACACATTAAATTACTCACACTAACACAGCCACTTCGGTGCGTTCGCCGTGGAGGATGCTCGGCGATCTGACATTGGCATGCTAGTTTTTGCCTGGCGGCCCTTTGGTAGAGAACCCACCACCGCCACAGTCGCTGCCCACCACTTACATTAACATTGGCTGCTGACATTTGGCCTACGCCTATTTCAAACCTTTATAAACAGTTTGCCTTTAGAAGCTAACCCCCCTTTTCCTGATGACGACCACTTGTGTTGCGATCGAAATGTAGTTTTTTGTAATTGTTTTTTTTGGGCCTATCTACGTGACTTTACCGAAAGACCCAAAGAATATGAATAAGAAAACTTGGTTTAATATTCGCTTGCGGAGTACTGTTTGAGAATTATATTACTCTTTAGTCTGTACAAATTGAAAGACAACTATCGTCTGAAAACATAAAAATAGTATATTTACGTGAAAACATTTTCAAGGGCTGATTAAAAGCTATGTTTAGTGGCAGTTGGGGTTATCTTTCAAACCAGTATATCCTTTAATCATGTCTGAGAATCTGCTTGTGTTGCTGCTGGATATATGTTCGTGCAAACAGCTGCTGTGATGTTGGATTATTGACATTTATTTTTGGAATTTATATTCTTTGTTCTTATAAAAAAAAAACTTTTGTCTCCAGGGGGCTCTTATCCCATCATAAATGTTAAACCTACCTTTGGACGAATGTACATTAAAGCTGGAAATAGGCTGAAAAAGCACGGTTGAGAAAGCATCAGAGAGCAAATGTCATGTTACAAAAAATCATTATAAAATTGACTTTCTCTTAAGTGCAATTATAATGACTATTCAGTGTATTACACTGAATAAAATTCACCCCAGACAGTTTTAGCAAGTTATTACAATCACAAATGTAACAATATGAACGTAAGTGTTTTTGAAGTACAGAAAACACCATTTCAAAATGAGTCTGAATGTTAATTTGTACTTAATTTAAAATTGTGTTTATTTTTTTACAGCTCTGCTATAGTTTCATCATTGTCAACAGCCATGATCTGTCAATTGCTGGTTGAAGGTCTCCCCACTCTGTTGTCATCTCTCAGGGTCTTCATATGCCACAATCCGCCTCGCTCCTGCACACGAACTGATGTAATGATTCCATCTTGGCAGGGTCATCGTTTTGGGTGCATTCTCTTGGGCATGTCACCAACCTCTTTCATGGCCATCAACCCCTTCTAGGCATGATATGTCCTGCTCAAGCCCACTTTTCTGAACAAATGTCTCTAATTTGTGTATTTTGTTAATTCGTTGCATGGTTCTTATTTTAGTCTCATTATTTGTAAATGTCACTTTGCTTTGAATCACATCTGTCAATTGACTCAAAAGCCAAGTGTACGTAATTAGTACACATTGCGAAATGAAATGAATCAACGAGTAGGTCTGGGGGGTGTCCTGGCAAAAGAGAACTGAAAGACACGCAAAGCGAAGACTGGGAGAAAATTTACTGAAACGTGACGCAAACGAAAACCAAACTGGTTTGTCAAAGCAACCAAAATATTTGAGCCGAGCAAGGAACCAGATTCTTGTTGCTGGTTACTTGTGTAGTGACATAGCGCTGATTGTTGATAGACGCCGGGGTATTGCATGTCAGGGATCACATCCTCCACAGATTAAATCAGATCACAAATTTTATGTACTGTGTTTAATCGAACCTGGATCTTGTTTGCTCATGATTTTGGAAATATTTTTGGTGACCCCTACTATGTATGGCAAGGTGATGGTTTTGATTGGGTCCTCAGATGGTTCTTTCCCAACTGTTGGGGTGATAGCTTGACGGATTGTGTAGTATGAATATCCATTCGTCTTGAGAGCTTGGTGTACGTGTGTAGTGACTGTGCTTGTCACTGTATGGTGCGGGGCTTACGAAGCCACGGCGGGTAATGTGTTGTCATTATGGGCAGCCCGGGTTATGGGATGTAGTTCCTACCAGTCCTAGCGGGGCTTGGGTGAGCGCTGGTTAGCGCGGAGGCACCGTGAGCAGTGTGCGGTGCGGGATCCCGGTGAGGGAGCGTCAGCCAGCCAGGGTTACGTTGGGGCACGATACGCTGGTTGACCTGCTGACACGTGACCAGATGATATTGGAGGGGGGCCACCGGTGGACGGGGGCCGCGCGGTGGTCACGTCCAAAAGAGCTCTCGGGAACCTTTGAGAAGGAGCTCGAGAGACCTGGGAGGTGGGCGGGGCGAAGGGCGGAGCCAGCCCCAGCCCGGGGGTATATAACGAGGGCCCCGTGAGGAGCTCGAGGTCTTTCGTGTGCTGGTGTGAAGAAGATCCACGTCGGGAAGAAGAAGCCTCTAGCCACGCGGTCGGGGACCCAGCTTGTGGTCCGGACCGAGATAGCGAACCGTGTCTAGTTCTGCCATAGCGTGGTTAGATGGGCATATGAGACCCGAGTGTAGATTGTGTTTTGTTACATACCGTTGTGTAAATAAAGTGTTGCTCCTAAGATAACGTCTGCGACTCAGTTGGACTCACTACATATGTTCCAGTTCACCGGCTAGGTCGGAAATACATCGAGTTCTATGATGTAGAATTTTGATGAGGGAATTCTTCTGGGATGGATGGTGGTGTGAGTCAGGTTTTAGGTAAGGCATCTGTATGGGTGGCTTTCCTGTAGACAGAGTGGCCCATTGAGCCTTTTGGTCTCTTTTCGATTAAAACATCCAAGAATGGTAGCTTGCCATCCTTTTCCACCTTCATGGTGAATTTGATGGCTGGATGTATGGAATTGATGTGGTTGAGGAATTGGTTCAGAGCTGGTCGGCCATGTGGCCAGATGACGAACGTATCATCTACGTACCTCTTCCACAAGAATGGACGTAGAGTGGATGCCTGGATGGCGTCTGTCTCATATTTTTCCATGAAAACATTGACTACAACTACATGTAGCAGCCTACCGTTTTTAATCTCTGACATTAACATAAGCTCCTCCACCCATGTTGCTCAGGGCCCTTGTGCCCCACCCACTACATTCTGACACGTGGGCTACGCCCATTTAAACCTTTATAAACAGTTTGCCTTTCGAGGCTAACCCCTCTTTCTTCTCCACCTGATGACGACCGCTCATGTTGCGATCGAAACATCGTAGTTTTTTTTATTTTCTTTGAACCTATCCACGTAACTTTACCGAAAGACCCAAATAATATGAATTCCTGCAGTCACGAAAGCTTTAAGTCAAGATTTTGACTTGTCGCTGTCGTTGTCACCGCCTTCGCCCGGGCATTGCGCAGCCGGACAGTAGTTGACTGTCTCGGTCGACGCCGATGGTGCAACGTGCGCAGGGTCGTGTCTGGGACGGGTCGTGCGGCAGTGTGGTCGTGATGGAGAGGGGGGCCCGAGTGGTGTCGTGAACCCAACAACAATAAAAGGGGAGGACAGTGCCTCCTGCGACCACCTCGTCTCGGACTGAGTGTGTGTGTGCGATGCACGCCACCCACACAGACGACACTACACTTGCATTCCGCATATTTCTTATCCGGAAAGTGCACAAATCTGTAAACTGGTTTCACATTTAAAATAAACATTCATTCGGTTTCCGCATGTGGAAACTTTAAGAAGTGGAAAACTGGAAGCAAAAATCTAACTTTGAATCTGGAGGCAGGAAACAGTAATTTAAGTGAAGCAAATGTAAATATGTAAGTAAAAACAAGACGCAAACTTCGAGGTTGAAGCAAGAAGCAGGGTTTAAGTACCGTGCATTGAAATCTGGAAGCAAGGGGGAAAAACACCTCAGTGCTGCCCGTCAATTGGTCACATTCGCTCAATTTATTTTGATGGTGACCCTAACACAAGAGGAACACTGCAAGCCATCAGCAAAAGCTGATGGCTTTTTCGTAACGCACAATGGCCGAGTGCATTTTGTACACCTTTCCGCGAGATGTTTGAAAGTGAATGTTAGCAAGCGAGAAGCAAAGGCTGGGAGCGGGAAAAAAAAGCAAATCTGGAAGAAAAGCTTAAAAAACAGGGCGAAACTTGAGTCTCCATGGTTATTGGTCAGAGGGCAGCGGCTCCACCAATGGTGAGCGAGGACGCGGGTGTTGTCAGTGGGCTGGGTCATGGGTACACCACCTCCAGGGCGAGGTTTTTAAAAAATCCCCTAACCCCCGTCCACCTTACCCAGCCCCGCCTTTACACCTGTTTTGCATAAACTTCGCCCCTTGAGGTGTGGCCAACCACGGAGCCCCCGCCGACTTTTCCACTTTGAGCCAATGGGGGGGGGGAGGAGAGAGGCACGGGCGCGGTGGAGAGGGAGGAGGGGAAAAGAGCTCGCGCATGACGTCACTAAACCCGCCGCGCCGCTGTTTGTTTAATTATTTACGTAGTCGTTTGTGGGAGGGTGCGGAGACAGAGGGAGAGGGGGGGCGAGAGAGGAGGTGGGGGGGGGCGAGAGAGTTTTTTTTTATTTTGGTATAGCCTTGTGAGCCATTCGGCTCTTGAATCGGGTGCAACCACAACAAACAAAAAAACAAAAACACGAACAAGAAAAACATCTTAGAGTAACTGTGTGACTGAGAGGGGGGGGCAGGGCGAGAGAGGGGGTGGGGGCGGGCAGAGCGAGAGAGGGAATGGGGGGGGCAGATCGAGAGAGGGGGGCAGAGCGAGAGAGGGGGTCCGGCAGAGCGAGAAAGGGGGTGGGGGGCAGAGCGAGAGGGGGGGCAGAGCGAGTGAGGGGGAGCGGGGCAGACCGAGTGAGGGGGGGGCAGAGCGAGTGAGGGGGAGCGGGGTAGAGCGAGTGAGGGGGGGCGGGGCAGACCGAATGAGGGCGGGGCAGAGCGAGTGAGGGGGGGCGGGGCAGACCGAGTGAGGGCGGGGTAGAGCGAGTGAGGGGGGGTGGCAGAGCGAGAGGGGGGGTGGCAGAGCGAGTGAGGGGGGGGCGGGGCAGACCGAGTGAGAGGGGCGGGGCACAGCGAGCGAGCGAGTGCGCGCGCGCGCGGCCACCCTCGCAAATATCCCTCCGCCGCTGTGTGGAAGAAGGAGAGAGGTGGCAAAGGGAGGAGGAGGAGGGGGGGAGGAAGAGTCTCGGTCGGGGGTTTGGGGAGCGAGCGACTGAGCGAGCCGAAGCACGGACCGCATCGCCGCCGCTGCCGCTGCCGCCGCCAACCGAGGCGGGAAAAAAAAACCCACGCCGCGCTCGCGTTGCGTGCGCGCGCGTCGAGCTTTTTGCCGCGCACGCGCCGAGGAGGCGAATTATGCCGCGCCCGTGACCCGGTGCAATAATTCCTCCAGCGATTTAAACGGCGGACCCCACCAAGTGAACAAGTCGAAAGACCCCCCCCCCTCCTCCCCACCGCGGCGGCGGGGCGTTCGCCCCGTTGGCTTTCGTGTGTTGTTTTTGAGCGCAGTGAAAATTATTTAGAGTTTTGTGAAAGCGTGAGGGGGTGTCAAAGGGGGGGGAGTGGGGAAGTGAGTGCCGACTCCGTTGCTGTGGCGCCCGGGAGCCGCGTCCGAGTGGCCCAGCCGCGGCGGAGTGGCGCCGGGAAGAGGCGGCGGCGTCGTCGTCGTCATCACCTCTTCATCCGCTCGTCAATTTGCACCTCGTCTTTTAGTCGTCATCGTCTACTTGGTAGTTGACGGCTGAGTGCTGCTGTGCTGCTGCTGCTGGGACCCGAGGCTCTGGGCGTCCCCGACGCAACTTTGTCCGCCTTCATGGGGGTGCCGTGAGGGGCTCCCGCCAGTACAAGCGTCGTTATCAGCGTTATTCAGAGGTTTTTACTTTGGTGGTGGGGGGGGGGGTTTGTTTGTAAAACAAAAAACATTGTTTGGTCTATAATTGGCTGTGTTTTATAATTAGTTTTTACTCGAGCGATTTTGGTATTTATTTTTTCCCATTTATATTGGAGAAGAATTGTGGGTTTAAACAATGTTTTGCAACTGTACTTGCGCTGTAACTAAATAACGATATTAAAACTGAGAGTGGTTTGTATATAATAGTATAGTTTACTCTCTGCCCAATTAAACCACGTTTTTTTTTGCAAATTGAACTTTTTTTTTATCCTGTGAAATAATTGTACCTGTTTTCAGCATATTTTCTAAATCTACGTTTCTAGTTTCACTGTTAATTTAGAAGCCTTCAATTGTTAAACAATTGCACCAAGTTTGTAATCTTTTTTTTTATCCCGATCACTATCGTGACATTCTTTTACACATTTGTTCGCAAACTCTTCCTGGGGGGGGGGGGGGGGTGTGCATACAAAACAGTTAACACCCAACAGCACCAACCCACCTTAACATTGGTGCAATTGTATTTTTTTTTCAATCACCTCTTCAACATCCGCACATGTTAAATAACAACAGTATTGCTAGACGGTTAACGCACGCAAACCCCGAAGTGGCAGGCGAGTGAGGAGGCGTCTTGAGAGCCCACACCGCTGCTGGCCTAGTCACCGGTGGCAGCTCTTTCAAGAGGGCCCAACACAAACACTCAAGATGTCTGCCAGAACGCCATTACCCACCGTGAATGAACGCGACACGGAGAACGTAAGTGTTGTGTCCTCGCTGATCTTTTTTTTTTAAAACGCCACCAACACCACCACCACTGTCGTCGGCTCGCACAACCCGCGTTTGCTTGCCTCCCGTTTGTCCGAGATAGAGGCCGTCGTCGTTGCCACTGTTGGCTTGTTTCGTGCGAAGGCCGTTTTTGAGGTCGGCCCCGGCTGAACCCACTCGCCGCCTCTTATCGCTGTGCCGTACACCATGCGGCTCCTTGTATTGTTTAATGCTACGGTATGCTGCGTTATGCCATGTACACGTACTGTCGAGGTTTCAACCCGAGGCAGGTTTGCGCCTGGGTAGTTAGTTGCTGGATGAGCGACCACCGTGGCCAAACAGGTTGTTCTAGGCTGCGCGTCCACTTCGTGTGTATCCGAGGGCAGTGCATTAACAATTGTATTGTACTTCTGTGCTTCCATGTATATGGCCTCTCTGCCTTCAACCCACACAGACTAGCGTGGTGAAATATGGTCAAGTAACCCCCAACAGCCCGCACAGCGTGGCCCCGAAATGACCTCATCCAGCAGTGGATTGTCTGATATTACGTGTGCATTTATACAATGTGTACATTGTTGCGTCTGTGATTTCTGCTTCTGGATGTTGTGGGTTGGGCCCCTTGTGCAGAAACAATTGCGGTAAATGTTTAACCCAGGGGCGTAGCCTGGATTTTTCACTGGTGGATTGGGGGGTCGCAGAGCAGTTCAAGTAAGGGCCATTTAAACTGCCGATAGACACACGCGCACGTGCACTGTTACAACACCGTAAACGGGACGCTACTGTTAATGTCCCAATCGGTCGTACCCCGCGAGGTTTAGCCGAACAGTTACTCGTGGCAGACGAGATATCTACGCACAGTTACACTTGAGACTGGTCTAAAGCGTATGGTATCTAATGTACATTGATGACTGGTGGTAGTACCGGTGGGTGGGGGGAGTAGAAATGTGTCCACCACCCCTCCAAAGCTCAGCTACTAGGCTACGCCTCTGGGGGAGGCAGTGGCTCAAGTTTTTGGCTTGGTAGCATTGTTAGGACTAAAGTTTTGGGCGACGTGACCATGCTGTGTAAACCACCCTATTACACCCCCCATCCACAACACCACCGTCCGCATTGTCGTAGAAGAATAATGGTAGGATGTGCGGTAGGATGACCCAGAGGGTGCCAGAGCAAGGACGAATGGCCCCATTGAGTTGTTTGACGGGCCGGACCAAAGCAGTTCTATGGCATGGTCCTGTGTCGTAAGCCCCCCCCCCCCCCCACTGTGAGTTGGGTACCACGCGTTAACAATTTTCATTGTGTACTGCCTCGTATTGTCTGACGAGGGCCTGCGTCACCTGTTGTGTCGAATGTGCTTCTTGTCACATTTTTGTTGGCAATAGCACGCCAATGCAATGTGTGTATTGGTCTTTGTCAAGTTGTGAATCTGACCTCGACCTTTGTCATCGTTGCGTACAACAGTGCTGCGTTGACATTTTTTAAAGGGTAAATCATTGAGGACTGCCTCCTGATGGCATAGATTGGTTTATTGTCTTGTTTGTGAAATGACATTTGTCTGCATTTCACGTATCTTGAACAAAGTGTCAATATCCAATGGTTTGCAATTGACATGTTAATGGCTTGCACACTCGTTAACACTTGAAAGCATAACATAGATTTTGTTCATAACCTGGAAACGAAAGCACTGTTTTTATTGAAATTCCGATTTGTGAAAATCAATGCCACGGGTTGCAGTTATAATAGGATGTGATTAATTATTTATGACTGAAAGCCCATATATTTTGCCATTTCTAGCATACATCAGCAGTAGATGGAGCTCCGGATACAACCGTGGTCACCAAGCCCAGCCGTAGCAGTGGAGCCCGTTGTAGAAATTCCATCACTGTGGCAGAAGTGGAGCACGCGCATATTGGAACCTACCGGCTCCTCAAAACCATCGGCAAGGGGAACTTCGCCAAGGTCAAGCTCGCGCGGCACACCCTGACCGGCCGAGAGGTAACGATGACCAAGCCAAGGGCTCTTGCTTAATCGGCGTCGCTGTCAACATATCCTTCACCTGAAATCGAGCCTGCGACCAATTATGGCTCTTAGCTTGCACAGGGGTTCTTGAGATCCGCGTTGTGTCAGATTGTGCGCGTTTCGTGCTTGTGAAGACAATAATTCGGTAGCCGGTCTAAGTCGTTTCAGGTGTGATACTGTACAAGCCAAACTTTCCCTTTTAACATTCCTGTGCATATAGGGTGTACATAGATTATATTATTATTCACAATTGTATTGGAATAAGTCAGACATACAAACATAATATATATTTTTTATTTGTGTAAGCTTCTGTTTTTTTAATGTTAACTACTGTAGAATATTATTTGATAACATAATTTAAAATTTTTAGCACAAGATGTTGCAAACGACAGCTTTTTTCAGTTTGAATCATTGCTTTTATAATGTATATCCCGTTTTTAGGTGGCAGTTAAAATTATAGACAAGACACAACTGAACCCATCAAGCTTACAAAAGGTAAGAACGAATGTAAGTGTTGGATGCTCTAAAGGTTAACATTAACTTGCTTTTGGCTTGACTGATCAAACACTTAAAGTTCATTCAGCAACGCGCTCTGAAGTTGATTACCGGTACTTCAGGGCCGAAGGGAAGGGATGGATGTAAGCTGACAAACAAGTTGGGGTCACTGGTAATTGAAATAATGGGCGCAGCTGTACCTGCACACCGGCCAGTGTAAGTGCTACATTCGTTTCATACGTATAAACTCTGTGCAGTTTTCGTACACAGTACACGTTAGTTCAGTTTTACATAGTGTTCCCAAAATACAAATCGTATCTGGATGTCATTGTGCTGGAATATGATAGAGGTTAGGAATGCACACACTTGGAGGTGTACGTAAGGTTGTGGCTTTAAATCAAACTGCAGAAGCAATTGTCAATTCTGTTTGTGTATACAGTATTCCTTGAGAATGGATCGAAAGGATTTCAGTTCAGTTGTATTCATTAAAGAAAATGTGAGGGAAGAGGATTCTCACGTACTGTTTATTGAAGGAATTCATCTGAGTGATTTGGGTGACGAGTGATTATTTAGAAGAGAAATAAGGAAACGAGCAAGACATCCGATGGGATTTGAATGTTTTATTTCTTGACATCAGCCGTGACCTTTTTTGATTGCGTAGTGGAGTTTCCATGGTGATTCAGTGTGGGCAAGACTAAAGGCATAATACAGTGGGTGTTGTGGGATGTCTCAACTCGATCCTCCAGACGTTTGGGTGTGGTGCTCATTCAGAGTTTTGTGGCATGCCGTGGCGTTTATAGCAAGCAGGATTACTGCCGATGTGGCATTCACATTATTACTGTATGCGGGTCGTTTGTCTCTGCCAGATTTTCCTAGTGCCTTTTGCATGAGCACATTCCATCATCCTTGCATGTATAATTAATTGCTGTAAAATACAAGGTGATTATGTCCACCGGGTGAAATTCTACCATCATCTTTGACCACACTTTTGATCGCCAGCCATCTGATTAAATGTTTTTTTGTTATATGAATACCGTACACCCAAAGAGTTGCATGAAGTATTGACTAAAAAAAACGTGCAGTCCACTGTCAGGGCCTTCTCGGACTTAATTTCATCCTCTCCCTATTGTACACAATGGATTAAAAAAATGTACAATGTCATACGCACAATAGAATCCTTTCCGATTAAACATTTTCTTTAAAAATGTGTTTGCAATGAGGTTGCTTCGGTCATTACGGAATGCGCTGCCTCTTGGTGAATGTTAGAGAGAAGTGTTGTCTTACTTGGACCAAACTTGTTTAGACAAAAATAGGTTTTTGGTTTTCTTTTGCAAATCGGAATGAATTTTCAATTCAGGCAAAGCGTCAATAAAAGATGCATTTCAGGGGTCTTTGGGAAAGGTTACCCCCTGCTCCTTTATTGCTGCCAAGCCGGAAAAAGTCTAGTTATGCGACATGTCTGTCCAGTGCTTGTAAATTCATATGCAAATTAAGGATGTTACAAGGAGTGCGTCTCGCCGGTCGTTTTAAGTGTCGTATATGCACGATTGTAGGACACCGTTTTTGTAAAAAAAAACATTCTACTCTGAAAATAAAAATGTTATTTTATATGCAGTATACATAGGCATAATAAATAGAAAAATCTTTGTTAATAATTAGCACTTAATTCGGATTGAATGTAAAACCTCTATGGTACATTTTAATGGATGCTTGTAAATATAAATAATCTATAAATAATCTATTTATATTTACTTTGCTGTGTTCTAATTGTCACTACAAGCATCATGTATATGTTTTTACAATTGTGATTATTTAAAGACCTTACTTTAATCGACCAAGTTCAGATATTAACTTTATTGTGAAGAAAATGTGGCGTTGGTGAAATAATTGTTATTTGTAAAAAAAAAAATACTGACATTTGCAAGATACTCTGTATTGCAGATGTGTGTATTGTGGCACTGGTATTGTAACGTGGAGCATTATTATTCCTCAACATTAATTTTAGAATCTAAGGCGTGGTCAGAGTAAATCAGATGTGTGCTTGTAAACTCTCTATGAAAAGACAATTTTTTCTGCTATAATGTTGTGGGGCAAGTGCTGTTAGCAAGCACCTATTCTGGCTGACTTCATCTCGCTAGATTTATTGTTGACGCATTGCATCGGGTGCTTATTTTGAGGCAGGTCAACCATGCAATAAAAATTAGATGGATGTACCTCAACTGTATATACACATGTATGAATTCCTTTTGGAAAGAGGACAAGTACAAATTGCAGTTGGCTAGCATTATGTGATGGCGTGTTGAACCATGCCAAGTCGAAAATTAATGCGAGAAAAGGGTTGGTGGTGTTTGATGGTATTGGGAAGAGGAGTGTGATTGCTTGAAGTGGACCACTCGCAGCACACTACACGTTTGGTTACAGCCCCATCTTCATAGTACACGTGCTTTCATAGCCTCCTATGTAATAATGTATGTGTTTTTTGTATAGTTGTAATTGGTATTTATCTTTGCTCGATTCATTAGGAGTAGCAATTGTATATCAGAAACCTTAAGTATATTCCACCCGAGGTGCTTGGCATCAGAAAATGTAATTACACGGCAAAGCAATTACCGCATGTTGTATTTTCTTCTTGTGGCTGTGATGCTGCAATGGGGGGGTGCCTTGTATGGGCATGCAGCCAGCTGTGTGTCCCACCAGGGTAGGAAAGATGCTGACGTGCATTGATAAATGCTTCCAGTATTAGAAATGCCAGTCGAGATTTAGAAACAGCTGGCGGTAATTGGAAACTGAGATCTACCTGTCGGAATTGTACCCATTGTAATAAAGCTAGTTTTACTTGTTTATAATGTAAGCCAAAAGTGCATATGTGCCACTGTATAAAATTAGCAGTAGTAAGCTTTTGCACAAATTTTGGCTTTTGCAGAAATACATAAGGTTTATTATTGAGATCCCTCGCCTCATTACAATTGTTTATTCATTTGTTATCATTCAGTTCACGTGACCTCATTAATGTTGCTAGGCAACGTCCAGTTACATGTAAGTCTATGCTTACAGAAACATGTGTTGAATGCCTTAGACATTTGAACTATAGAGTAATTGGCAAGAATTTTTGTTAACTGCTATTATTTGTTAACTAAAAACGAATAGGAGAAAATTGTGTTATTGCCAAAAATATTTTTTATTGCTCTGTGGCCTTTGATGGCCATTTTTCCCTCGTTTGTCAGCACAATCAGCTAGAGTTTCAACAGGTGCATTTTTTGAGAATGACCTGTAATTGGCACGTCTTTACGTCTAAAATCCACATGTTATAAAATGTGTTGGGTCTTTCTGTACCAAATTTAGAAGCATACGTTCTCTACATTTTACTGATAATCATCGCTGTGCTTGCTGAAATAATAGTACGTTTCATATCATCCACGTATTGTTCATCACTTTATCTCCATAATTCCAAACAATATCTACTGATTCAGCATAGAAAGGAAAACTACACAGTTCCTAGATTAAAAAAAAATCGTTGGCAAATTAGGTTTTTTTTGACATTTAACCGCCAGGGCTTTCAGTGGGAGCTACGTTATTGGCAATTCCTGAGTATTTTGCGACATTAATAGTCTTAATATTTCTAATCCTAAACTGCCTCCCTATGCCTCTAAAGAATTAGGTTGGCAATACTTAGGAAGTATTATAGGATCACTGATTTTAATGACAAATGGTTTATAATTGATATAAAATATATTTAAATATTAATCCCCATTGTGCACCACCCAGCTGCTCATTTGTAGTACAGTTCTTGTATAATAGGGCATCCATTTTAAATCAATATAGAATATTAACTTTTAAATAATTAACAATAATAAATAAATTGATTGTATAATGAATTGTTGTTTTTTAAAGGTAATGTTTATTGTCTGGCCCCGCAAACCACAAATTGCCATTGCTTAACATTTATTTGCAGTGGGAAGTCCTTCAGGAGCCCTTCTGTAGTTATTTTTGTCCACTCGGGTTACTATTATGCTCGCTAATTACATTGCGCAATGTACTAGGCACATCATAATTAATTTATTGAATTGAAATATTACGTTATTGGTACATGCATCAAATCAGGCTTTTACGAATTCGTTATTTTCTGTCCATGGATATGTTATAATAGTATGTTTCCTTTAAGATAATGGTCTGAAATAATAAGATCGACCAAACAAGACACACTGTACAGACAGTACAAATGCAAAAATAATTGATTCTGGAATCTAATTGTTGCCCCTAATTGTCACAGTTTATGAAATTGCGCTGAGGGTCACTAATTTATATACCTGCTTTGCAGTTGTTTGGTCCGGCTATGCAGACATTATACAAGCAGCAGCAAACAGCTTTGCCACGCCTTGGCCTTGACAGTACACTTAGCTATTTTGAGTGCTTTGCAGCCTCAACCGTGGGGGCCTTCTGCTTCCGGTGGGGTAAATATCATCCGGATGTCACATCCTGACCTCTTGGCAACTTTAGGCAAAGCACAGCGCTGCTGAGCAGTAATATGAAGGACGTGGATACATATCAAAGATAAACTGACAGTGCTGAACAAAATGTTTTTCTTTTTTGTCTGTGTTTTTTCGGTTCTGATTAGCTTAGCAAGGTGGGAAGTTGGTTTTGAGTCATGTTTTGTGTTGGATGAGCAAGTTGACACATGCCTGCCAACATGCACACTGTCTTAAGCCGTTTGAGGTGGTGTCAATTTTCTCCTGCACAGGTTTGAATTGGCACTGACAGATTTTGTGAAATATTTATTTCCAGAAGTGAAATTATAATTACGTGAGAGTTTCTAAATCTTATCTTGACGATTTAATTTCAGAAAAAAAATTGTGAGCTGCAGCCCTTTAAATTCATAATGAAAGGTTTTGGGTTAGATCGCGTAAGTATAAATGTGTCGTAACCCCCCACTACCCGACACACGCAGTAAGGTTTGTCACGTAAACAAAACGCGCCAATTAGTTGCTTTAGCCCACTGATGTGTTGAAGGGTAA